AAACAGCCAAAAGCTTGCGGGTGGCCACATTGAATGTTCGAACGCTCACTGCGGAGGAGAGGCTGCCCACTCTATCAGGAGCTGGACCGGTACCGCCTGGATCTCTGCGGTATTTAGGAAGTCCGGTGGACAGTCCTCTACTCGGGGCAGGAGACTGCCAAACAACACATAGTGGCATTCTTCTGAACAAAATAATGAAGGGGCATGGGTGCGTGGCTGTGAGGTGTGGGAAGCTGTAAGCCTCAGGCTACTTTGGGCTCGCCTTCCCATCAACTAGAGGCTAGGAGCAGTGGTCGTGGTTACTTAAACCCCACTGAAAATGAACATCGGTGAAGGGATGCAGGCAAGCTCGTTGAGTCAGATGCCCTCGATGACCTTCTGTCACAGGTAATAGCTAAAGTGGCTCCTCGGAATAGATTCATCCCTTTAGGTGACTTTAATGCCCGAGTGGGTCATGATGCTGGCACCTGGTCTGGAGTGATTGGAAGGTATGGGCCAGATCAGCTCAATAACAACGGTAGGCGGCTGCTAGACTTTTGTGCAGCCCATGGGCTTGTAATTACCAACACGATGTTCCGTCATCGGCGCATCTACACAACATTATGGATGCATGCTGGGTCCAAGCAAGAAGATCTGCTGGACTAAATAGTGAAAGAACAGCAGATGCGGGCCTATATCCTTGACACTAGGACCTACTGTGGAGCTGATCTGCCCACTGACCATCGACTTGTCATCTGTAAGATGCGCCTGTCATTCTTCCACTCTGGTGGTGGGTGTACATCCAGGATCCCATTCAAACCCACAGTGGTCTGATCTCAGCTGATGAAAGTTGTAAGCGAGAATCTCTTCATCACTTGCAGCTGGGGTTTGCATCATCCCCCACTCCTCCTGATGCCGAGGTGAAATCGGTGAGGTTTAGGACTGTGGCAGCTGCAATGGTTGCATTGGGTGCACGGTCCAAACTTCCCCAGAGACCCTGGCTGACAGAGAAGGTGTTTCGGCTGGCTGAGGAAAAGCGACAGGCCCACTCTCACCGTCTACAGCATCCCACGTCAGAGAATGAGGCTTACCACAGCCTTCGCTCGGAGGTTCGGACAGCCGTGCGGTGCTGCAAGGATTGGTGGTAATCGCGGGTTGCTGAGAAATTGGAGTCTGCCTAAGTAGCCCGCGATCACAAATCACTCTTTAAATCAATCAAAAAAGATACTTGCAGTGCTACACCTATCACCGTCATTCGGAGAAAGAAAGGTAACTGGATCTCCTACCCCCAGGTACAGGTTTGTAGATTTGCTGAGCATGTCTGTGAGGTCTTGGAGGAAGGGAAATCCCTCAGGCTAGAAAACATCATGGGGCAAAGTGCGTGTAGGTGTGTCTACATGCGTGTACATGCGTGTACCTGCATGTACTTCTGTGCGTGTACTTCTGTGCGTGTACGTCTGTGCGTGTACGTGCGTGTACGCCTGTGCGTGTACGTCTATGCGTGTACGTGCGTGTACGTCTGTGCGTGTACTTCTGTGCGTGTACGTCTATGCGTGTACGTGCGTGTACTTCTGTGCGTGTACATCTGTGCGTGTACGTCTGTGCGTGTACGTGCGTGTACGTCTGTGCGTGTACTTCTGTGCGTGTACGTCTGTGCGTGTACGTGCGTGTACTTCTGTGCATGTACATCTGTGCGTGTACGTCTGTGCGTGTACGTGCGTGTACTTCTGTGCGTGTACGTCTGTGCGTGTACGTGCGCGCTCACGGCGGCCGTGACGTCGATGTGGAAGAGGCACGGCGTGGCCTTCCCCGGGGCCTCCTGCAGGTCGACGATGGAGGCGAGCACGGAGCTCTCGTCCACGGCGCTGGCGATGAGGCGCAGCGTGCGCAGGGTGCAGCGCCCGCCCGGGCACGTCCGCGACACCGACTCGTGCAGCCGCTGCACGTACAGCGACTTCCCTGCGGCACCGCCACCGCCGGACAGACGACCGCGCTCAGTTCGCGAGCCCGCCGGACGCCCCGGCTAACGCTGCCCGGCGTCGATCGTCGTCGCGCCGGACGGAATCGCACGCGGTGGCCGTGGGCCAAATCGACTCGTCGCGTTTCGACGAGGCGCACACGGAATGAGGAGGATTGTGTTACCCGCCCCTCCCCCCCGCCCCCCCCCAATATTATCCGGATAATAAGAGACGCTCTGGAAAAAGACGCACGAATAACAGGTCGCGCTCAATTAAGAGTTATGCTTATGTGGTCACACACATACGCACGGACACCCACACGCACGTAAAGACAAAGACTTTTGGGGCAAGTGCTAAAAACGATTAGCAACACTTACGAAGGCTGGAACGGCACACGAGGGGGGGGTGGGTGGCCAGCACCACGCCCGGCCGTCTTTGTCTCCCTACTGGTTCGAGTCAACCTAGGGGAGGAGCCCCAGGATCGGCCGCACGGTCCCGATAGAGAGGAACTCACCGACTCCGGCGCGCCGGGATGTGACGAGCCGCACGCTCACGGGGTCCGAGAAGACGCGGGCGGGCGAGCGCTCGTTCCGGGGCGCCGTGAAGTGGCGCCGCAGGTACCGGCGCAGCTCGTCGCGGGCGCCAGCGGAAGGGCGCCGACGCGGAAGCGGCCGAAGGAGGAGGCGGTCGTAGCGATGCTCCCTGCGGCGCCGCACATCAGCATCACCAGCGGTAGCAGGGGTCGGAGCTGGCGCGCAGGGCGCTCGAAGGCCTCCTCGGCCCGCACGCTCGCGTCGTAGCTCAGCAGGTCGGCGTGCACCAGCGAGTAATCTTGCCCGCTCCGGCGTCTCCCGCGTCGACGTCACCGCCGTCGCGGCCCCAAGGCCCTCCTGAAGAACAGCTCCACCGTGCGGGGGGAGTGCCGGAGGAGGCCGTCACGGCGAGACGTGGCGGAAGGCGTGACTTGACGCTCGCGGCCAAGTTCCGGCGCCAAGCCCTGAGGCTCTCCCCTGGCATACGTAGCCCCCAAGAGAGACCCCCCTCCGAGGGGTCCCTCCTGGTAGACGGATGGCACGATCTACGTCTATCTACGTGTTTTGTCCGCGTGTCTGTCCGCCGTCTGCGTGCCTGTCCGCGTGTATGCCTACGTGTCCGTTTGCGCGTCTGTCCGTGCGTCCCCCCACCGGCTCCGTCGTGGTGTCGGGGCGCGACACCAGCACCTCGTCGCACAGTCGGCAGCCGCTCGGCGTCGCCGTGCCGGTAGACCGCACAGCGCCGCCGCGTAACACCCCGCCTCGCGGCACACCACCAGGTTGGGCTGCCCCGCGTCAGCCCCTCCGGCAGCCGGCACCGCACCGGGCGCCGCCGGCGGCGAGTCGCGCCCAGCGCCCGCCCCAGCTCCCCCACGCCGAGGTGCCCGCCGGCGCCGCTCCGCGCGAAGCGCCGCCACAGCCGGAGAAGGCGGTCGCCCACGCCCGCCCGCCGTCCGTCGGCGTCGTCGTCGTCGCCGGACGAAGGAGGAGGGCAGGGGAGGCCGGAGGCGGGCTGGCCGCGGGCTTCGCGGTCCGCCTCTTCGCCGCCGCGACCGGCGCCGTCGAACGCCCGGCTGAGCGCGCAATGCTGCGCGGCGCTGCAGGTTTGCCGAAGACCCAGGCGATGAGGTCGCGCTCGGACGCGGGCCCCAGCTCCTGCACCGCCGCCTTCGCCGCCGCCTCCTCCCACGTCCTTGGTCCACGAGGGCCTTGACGGCGCCCATCAGCCGGCTCGCTCGGGAGGACGTCGACGACGACGACGAGGAGGAGGATGAGGAGAGCGGGGCGGGCGACGAAGGGGAGCGCGACGGATCGCCGCCGGCCACGGCCCCGACTCTCGCCGACGGCGCCGCCCGTTCCGATTCGAGGGAGAGCGCGACGACGTGCTCGGCCGTGCAGTCCTCCTTGATGAAGGACAGCAGCGTGAGGGCCGCCACGCCGGCGACGCGCCCGCCCTGCCACGGCCCCCGGCGCCCGGCCAGTCCGCCGCGCCAGCGCGCCCAGCTCGGAGCGCAGCAGCACCAGCTGCTCGGCCGTGTAGAGGTTGAGGTGGTAGAAGTCGCGCCGCTTGTCCTCCACGTAGGCCTTCCACTCGGCCAGGCAGCGGTCCATGGCGCGGCACAGCGGCCGCAGCTCGTCGCCCGCGCCGCCCATCGCGTGCAGGTGGGGGACGCCGCGCAGGCCGAAGTCGACGATGGCGCACACCGTGCTGCCCGGGTCGCAGAACACCTGCGCCGTCCAGCGGCGGAAGAGGACACTGCCGGCCCAGTGCAGCTGCAGGTAGAGCTCGGCGAGCCGCAACACGTTGCCGAAGACCTGCGCACGCACACACACACGCACACGCTCACACGCACACACACACGCTCACAAACACACGCTCACACACACACACGCTCACAAACACATGCACACGCACACACACACACGCACGCACACACACGCACACACACACACACGCGCACACACACACACGCACACACACGCACACACACGCACACGCACACACACACACACGCAAGCGTGCATGGGTGTAGAACTTCTTTCGCACCGTACGTAGCCAACCGCGTTATAATCAGAGGTGAGGGGGGAGCGACAACAAACTAAACACAAAAAGTACTGCTGAAGCGTTTTTAATCTAAATGTAACAGATGATAGTGATGTGTGCGTGGCTTTGTCAAAATAAATGTGACGAGATGATGTGAAAAGGTTTCATGGTTTGCCATGAGTACGTGTGGTTAATGCAGACTTGATGCTGGCAAAATGGTATTTATTTAGTGTTTGAACATCTTAACACCGGCCCGAAAGGGTAAACCCTATTCTTATGTTTTGCGTACTTTGATACTGGCAAACAAAAGTCCCACAGAGCTGATGATGAGAAAGACGATGACGGTGGGTGTGTGTGTGAGAGATGTGCCCTGAGCGAACAACTGAGACAATGACGATGATGATGACGACGGTGTGTCTTTGCGAGACGTTGGCAAGTAGATCTGACCTCGGTGAAGCGCTCGATCTCCTCCTTGCCCTGCTCCCGCTGCCCGGCTATGAGCATGAGCTTGCTCTGCAGCTCCTTGACCTCGCCGAGGCTGTAGACGCGCTGCTCCCTAAGGTCCCCGCCGCCTCCGGCCGCCGCCTCCGGCACCACGAGCTTCAGCACCGAGTCCATCGTGGGCTGCGGGGAGAGGCAACGCCACGGCCGTCGCGTTTGTCGGAGCTTCGCCGCTTCGCCACCACCCCCCCCCCCCCAGAGCTGGGCCAACGTCCTCGACAAAGAGGGCCGGGCCCCGGGGGCACGCCGACGGCCCCTCTCCAGTTTACGGAACCCGTCGCGGCCTGCTACGCCGGCGTTGGAAAGTCCCGCGCGGTACGTACTACGCGCACGTCCAACTTCTTTCGCGCCGTACGTAGCCAACCGTGCCGATCGGAGGTGCGGGGGAAGGACGACGAGGCTAGACACAACAACGATAGCAGCAGTTCTAAAAAAAGCAGTTTCCACCGCGGGTGAACGGCGAGGCCGCTGGGTGCCCGCCTCCCGTCTCGCTGGCACGAGCACCGTTCGCCCGTTCGGGCCGGTCGGCCGGTCGGCCGGTGACGCGGCCCCCTGACTCACCTTGCTGCCCGTGGGGAAGACGGCGCCGACCTGGTAGACGCCGCAGGCGTTGACGGCCGTGGCGAGGGACAGCGAGGACTTCTCCACCGAGCCGTGGCTCTCGTGCACCGTGCGCAACCACGAGAGGTGGCGCGCCGAGTCTTCCTGCGCGCCGACGGCGAGAGGGCGGGACGCGGGCGGTTATCACACGGGCAGTCACACAGGCAATCACAGGTGTGGTCGTCACAAGCGCAGTCACACAGGCGGTCACACAGGCAGTCATCAAACAGGCAGTCATCACATGGGTGGTCACACGGGCAGTCACATGGGTGGTCGTCACAAGATCAGTCACACGGGCGGTTACACAGGCAGGTCCATCACACGGGCAGTCACACGGGCAGTCATCACACGGGCAGTTATCACACGGGCAGTCAACACGGGCAGTCATCACACGGGCAGTTATCACACGGGCAGTCACACGGGCCACAGCGGGACAGTCACGGTCGCGGGATGTTAACTCCAAATATACAGCAGGCATCAGGGTCGGGATCCAAAAGCACAAACTTCCTCCATACCAGGCGAGGCAAGTAAACATCTCACCACTGGAGCGAGATGTTAACGACCTCCCACACGACCATCCGACCCGTGCGGAGCCAGACCGGGGGGCGGACCGGCGGACGCACCAGTTTCTTGAGCAGGTTGCGGTCCCTCTCCAGCGCCTTCCACAGCTTGCCGAGCGCCTGGTGGAAGTCGGCGAAGTTGGCGGAGGGCGGCAGCTCGTACAGCAGCGAGGAGAAGCCCTGCACGGCGTCGTGGAAGAAGGCGACGCGGTCAACGTCGGCGTCGTTCTCCCCCGCCGAGATGGACGCCAGGTCCACAAACACCTTCAGCTCGCTCAGCTCTACCGGGGGGAGGGGGGGGGAGGAGGTGAGAGGGGGAGGAGATGGCAGCGGTGACGCGGGGAGACTCGCGAACGTGACGGGCGACATCGCGGCCACAGCACAACATCGGCACTAAGACGAGCACAGAAACTTACATGACTCACATTGAGATCCATAGCACCACAACGAGACCTGTAAACTACTCACATGGAGACCTATAGACCCACAGACTCACAAATAGCTATATAGCACCACGAAGAGACCCACAGACTCACAGAAAATTCCCCGCACCTCCGATTAGCATGGTTGGCTACGTACGGTGCAAAAGAAGTTCAAGATACAAACTACTATACACGACACTACTACACTACTGTACACTAGACTATACACTCCGATTAGTACGGTTGGCTACGTACTGTGCGAAAGAAGTTAAATATACGTTGATTAAAAAAAAAAAAATCTGTGAGATGGAATTGAGCGAGTTTGTGAGAACGTGAGAAACAGGGTGATGGCAAGGAGAGTCGACGAGCAAGAGGAATGAATGAAGAGGCGGGCGGGCGGGCGGGGCGGGCAGGCGGGCAACGTCGCGTACTCACTCCCGACGGACTCGCGGACCCATCTGATGAAGTCCCGGCTGCGCGCGAGCACGTCCAGGCAGTCGATGCCTCTCTTGTCGATCCCGGCCAGGATATTCTTGGCATTGACCAGAGCCCTGGTGATGCACTTCAACTGCTTCTCCTTCAAACTCTCATCCTGCCAAGTGCACACGAGACACGCCAGACCAAGGCAAAGATCCCCCGCGTCGGCATTTTAACAGGCGGTTGGGGCAAGTGTTGTTAGCTAGGAGTGGTGCCTAAAGTGGCCAGCACCACGCCCGGCCGCCTTTGCTTCCCCAGTGGCGTCAGGTACTCGGTTAAGGCTGAGCAGACCTAGAGGAGACCAAGGAGTAGTGCAAATATTCACAACTATCATTGGACTCAAGCGGAAATCGAACTCGGCTCGCCGGGTTCGTATCGCAGCCGTGTCAACCACCACCATCACCGCTCCCTAGGACCATCCACACACTCACTCAAAAAGAGAAAGATCCCCCATATAGCCTTAACAGACTGTTGGGGCAAGTGCTGTTAGCGGCACACGAGGGGGTGGGTGGCCAGCACCACGCCCAGCCACCTTTGTCTCCCCGGTGGCGATGTTTACTACATGCCACACCAAGGACTCACTCACTCGCACACTCGCACAGACGCGCGTCATCACGTCCCTTAGCCACGAGTCCTCTTCCATCCTCAACTCGTGCAGGACACACAACAATCGTGCGGTTGTTCATTCTGCCGCTCCTCGTCACCCAATCAGTCGTCCACGTATTCAACCGGCCATTCTATCAGCGGGCTTCTGGTTATCCGCCTGTAGTCCCGTGCTGCCGCAGACATCCTCGGAATTTGAGGCTCTTCCACCGCGATCAGCCTAAGCGCTCAGAAGCACGTAAATCATTCGGACCGCCGACATGATCACCGATCGATCGCGGTCGTCGATTCAGCGACGGCGTTCGGGCGCTGGGCTTGCCTCTCCCGCGGCGCTCGCCACTCACCAGGTCGGTGAGCGAGTCCAGAACCGAGAAATCCCCGGTGAGGCCCAGAGCGTCCTTCGCTCGCTTCACCGCGCCGGCTGCCTCCGTGGCCAGGCCCAGCTCGCGGAAGTCCGCGATCTGCTCCGCTCGCTCCTCCACCCACGACGTCTCCCGCGCCGCGGTGACGCCGTCGCCCACCGCCGCCAGCAGCAGCCGCAGCTCCTTCTCAAGGTTGGCCACGGCGGGGGCCCGCGCCGCGCTCCCGGCGAACGCGGGCGCGAACAGCCGGCGCGCGTCGTCCAGCGGGACGGCGCCGGTGCGCACGGCGCCCAGCAGCGAGCGCAGGCGCTGCACGCAGGGCGCCCACGTCGCGACGCGCAGGCGCTCCAGGGGCACGGGCGCCGCCGCCGCCGACGACGCCGCACGGGCGCAGTCCTTCCAGAGGCTGTCGAAGAGCCAGCTGCTCTCCAGCCGGGAGAACTGGCGCGCCATCACGCGCAGCTCGACCGTCAGGCCGAAGCCGGTGACCTGCGGCGTGCGGGCGAGGGCCTCCGCGTCGAGCCGCCCCGGGTCGACACGCACGACGGCGTCCAGGCGGCAGTCGCTGCGGTCGGACCGACACTGGCGTTCCAACGGCTCCACGTCCACTGGAAGGGGCGGCCCACGTGGGTTAAAGTGGATTGTTTTTATTTTATAATCGTAAGAATAAAAACATTTTTTATTTATAATGATATTTGAATAAGAATTTTTTTTTTTTATAAAAAATTTCTATCGTAATTATGAAAAGTAAATAATAACATGGCTCATGTTATAACAATATTAAATTACACAAATAAAATATGTCAAAGACCCGTATGCCCACTTTTCCACGAGCACAGCCTGAGCCAGCATGGTAACGGGCGGCTGTGACGTGTGGTTGTGACGTGTGGTTGTGACGCGTGGTTGTGACGTGTGGTTGTGACGTGTGGTTGTGACGCGTGGTTGTGACACGTGGTTGTGACGCGTGGTTGTGACGCGTGGTTGTGACGTGTGGTTGTGACGTGTGGCTGTGACGTGTGGTTGTGACGTGTGGTTGTGACGTGTGGCTGTGACGTGTGGTTGTGACGGGTGGCTGTGACGGGTGGCTGTGACGTGTGGCTGTGACGTGTGGTTGTGACGGGTGGCTGTGACGTGTGGCTGTGACGTGTGGCTGTGACGTGTGGTTGTGACGTGTGGTTGTGACGGGTGGTTGTGACGTGTGGTTGTGACGTGTGGTTGTGACGGGTGGTTGTGACATGTGGCTGTGACGGGTGGCTGTGACGTGTGGTTGTGACGGGCGGTTGTGACGTGCGGTTGTGACGGGTGGTTGTGACGGGTGGTTGTGACATGTGGCTGTGACGGGTGGCTGTGACGTGTGGTTGTGACGGGCGGTTGTGACGTGCGGTTGTGACGGGTGGTTGTGACGGGTGGTTGTGACGGGTGGTTGTGACGGGCGACTGTAGCGGGTGGCTCCTTTTGATTGGCCTACACCTCGTCTCCCCACCCACCGATGTTAGACCAGAGAACAACGCCAAAAGGCGAAAAGGCTCTTATAGTTACCAACGGTCGTGCTGCCACACAGGCCACGCCACGTGCAGCGGCGTAGCAACCACTACCACTGCTACCACCACCACCCCCACCACCACCGCCGCCACCGCCGCCACCGCCGCCACCACCACCCCCACCACCGCCATCACCGCCACCACCGCCACCACCGCCGCCACCACCGCCATCACCGCCACCACCGCCGCCGCCGCCACCACAACCATCACCACCACCGCCACCACCACCGCCGCCACCACAACCATCACCACCACCGCCCCCATCACCGCCCCTACCGCCGCCACCACCGCCATCACCGCCGCCACCACCACCGCCACCACCGCCATCACCGCCCACCACCGCCACCACCGCCGCCACCACAACCATCACCACCACCGCCCCCACCACCACCCCCACCGCCGCCACCATCGCCATCACCGCCGCCACCACCAACCACCACAACCATCACCGCCACCGCCGACACCATCGAGGCCGCCCGGCATAACCCAGCAGCGTATAGACCACGGCTGGCGACGGCCGAGCGAGAGCGGAGGGCGATGGAAGACGCGGACCTGTGAGGAACTCCTGGACCGTGCGACACAAGTTGAGCAAGGCCTGCACGCTGCGAGCCTCCTCGTCCACCGCCTTCACCGCCCGCTGCCTCGCGTCCAGCACCGCCTCCAAGGTGCTGAGCCCGGGGCTACCGTCCAACGACCCTGAGCAGCGCGCACGAGAGAAATTGGCGCAGCCTTTCATCACTCCGCTGCCGGATGGAGGCCTCCACCCCCCCCGCGCCGCGTGGGCCGTGGTGGAGGGGGGGGGGCATTGCTCGGCCGTACATCACTGTGTCACTCAGACTCTCATTGTGTCACTCAGACTCTCACTTTGTCAGACTCTCACTGTGTCAGACTCTCACTGTGTCAGACTCCCACTGTGTCAGACTCCCACTGTGTCAGACTCCCACTGTGTCAGACCCTCACTGTATCAGACCCTCACTGCTGCAGGGCGTCTCACCCTGCACCCTGCAGAAGGCAACGCGCCGCTCCAGCACGATGCGCAGCAGCCCCAGCTTCACAGAGCCGTCCAGCACGGAGTGCAGCAGCAGCTGCAGCGACGACAACCCCGACGCCACCAAAATCCTCGCAGCCTCTCCCAGGCTCTCCATGAGCATCTGGCTCGTGCCTGCACACGCACACGCGCACACGCGCACACAGGCACACGCACACACGCACACACGCACACAGACGCACGCACGCGCATGCACGCACACACACGCACACGTACGCACGCGGGAAGTGCCAGGCGAGGTGCACAGTGAGACCACTGGGAGTAGTTGGGAGGTAGTCGCCCTTTAGCAACGGCGGAGGGCGGAGGAGCGACGCTCTATGGGAATATGTGAGTCTACGTGTCTCTGTGTGAGTCTACAGTTCTCTGTCTGAGTCTACGGGTCTCTATGCGAATCTACGGGTCTGTGTGAGTCTACAGGTCTCTGTGTGAGTCTACGGGTCTCTGTGCAAGTCTAAGGGTCTCTGTGTGAGTCTACGGGTCTCTGTGTGACTATACGGGTCTCTGTGTGACTCTACGGGTCTCTGTGGGAGTCTACGGGTCTCTGTGCAAGTCTAAGGGTCTCTGTGTGAGTCTACGGGTCTCTGTGAGTCTACGGGTCTCTGTGTGAGTCTACGGGTCTCTGTGTGAGTCTACGGGTCTCTGTGTGAGTCTATGGGTCTGTATGAGTCTACGGGTCTCTGTGTGAGTCTACGGGTTTTGTTGTGAGTCTACGGGTCTCTGTGTGAGTCTACAGGTCTCTGTGTGAGTCTACAGGTCTCTGTGTGACTATACGGGTCTCTGTGTGAGTCTAACAACGAGCGGAGCTGCCGGGCGGATAAAACATGGCGAGGTGGCACAGTGAGGAACACAGGTGGTGCATCTGTCAGTCGTCTCGGTCGGTCAACCCATGGCACCTGGGCCTGTTCCGTGGCCTCATCCTGCACCGAGCCTGGCACAGCAGTTAACCTATGGCACCTGGGATTGTCAGGTGACATCTTGCACGAGCAGTGTTCTGTGAGGGCCACCACACATTTTATAGCATTGTTGGGTTTCACAGCAGCACGGTGATGATGGTGGAGGGCGTTTTCACATTCGTGTATTGTCGGGGGCCGCACTTAAGGCCACCAGTGGCCCGCGGGCCTTGCCACGAAGGACACCGACGGCCTCAAAGTGCACCTAGCACGGCACAACCCCTGCGGGTGACGTCACGGCCACTCGGCGGCGGTCCCCACCGTGCATCTTGAGGACGTTGGGCGCGGCGTCCCAGGTGAGGAGGTGCCTCACGACTTCCTCCATCTCCTCGACGTGCCGCCCGCCCCGCCGCGGCCACGCCTGCTCCACGACGCGCGACAGCACCTTGCCGAACGCGCGGAGGTCGTGCTCCGGCAGCTGCCGCACCAGATCCCCCTCCCGCTTGTTCTGCACCAAGCACAACAACATCAAGACTACGCTCCACTACCCCCCACCCCCGCTGTGTAGCCTGAACACACCGCTGGGGCAAGCGATGTTAGCGAGCGGCTCCGAAGACCGGCACGGCGCACCACGGGGTGGGTGGCCAGTCGCCACGCCCGGCCGCCTTTGTCTCCCAGTGGCGACGTTTACTACAGACCGCACTGAGTCGACCTAGGAGAGGTCCAGGATCGGTTCGTGTTGGCCGTGAGACGGAATTGAACTCGGGCTGTTGGGTTGGTAGCGCAGCGTGCTAACCGCTACGCTACCGCTCGCCACACGCGCACGCATGCGCGTGCTACACACGAGACAAAGATCCCCTGTGTAGCCTTAACAGACTGTTGGGGCGAGCGTACCTATGAAGGCCGGCACGGCACACGAGGGGGGCGGGTGGCCAGCACCACGCCCGGCCGCTTGTCTCCCCAGTGGCGACGTTCACACACCGCACCGGGTACTCGTTTGAAGCCGGGTCGACTTAGGGGAGGCGCAGCACCGGTCCGGATAATCGTCACCGGCGTTGGTGGTGGCTGAGCGCTGCACCACCGCTCCCCCCACGCGACATCGCACGTCGTCTGCTTCACGCGTCCGCCTCTCCAGACGTTTCCTTAACGAACCGTCAGCCGCACCAGCGGCCGTCGTGGGAGCGCGAAACTTTCAGCAGCATCGCTTCAGGACGAGCAAAGCCTGGACGTGTTTCGACGCGCGGTGTCTCATCAGCAGTCAGCCTTTATTCAGTCAATGATGGGGAACTTCCGAGCTATAGGCAAGGACCCTCCCCGAATGATACGCGGTCCTAAATTGACCCGAAATGATACAATAATATATATTACATAATGATGCGAGTCATTATTGAGTTGCGTGGCGGGATTGGTGTTCGAGGCAGCTGTCAGATTCATGCTCTTTTCACAATCCTTCTCTACTCGGAGCACTAAAAGCAATCCGCTTTTATACGTCGAGATAATGTATTTTGTGAGTTTTTGTTTTATATTCTCGAGGATTTAAAGATTATTCTGGCGAAATAATTACATTAATAATAGGAGTACAAATTGAAAAGTGAAGAGAGATTATAAATGAGCTGTGGTCAGTCTCCTGTACTAATTATTCCCACCTCTTTGGTGTCACCATTATTATTATTATATATATATTTTTTATCATTTAACGTCTGCCCTTTCAATTCAATTCAATGGAAAATCCCGTGTAGCCAGTTACCCAGCTATAATTTCGGTGGCGACGGCGTGCAGCGACGAACGACAGAGTTGTCGTTGGGGTGACTGCAGCCGAGCCCGGCCAGCAGCCAGCCAGGAAACTCGAGGCATGGATTGTCACTAACAGTGGCAGCGGCCGTAGTACGACGACGACTGAGGGATGCACAGAAGGATGGATGATGGATGCACGGATGACGGCGGCGTGCAGCTGGCCCACGGCACCTGGCAGATGATGTGAATGACGTCCAGCGCCGTGGTCTCGAGGCAGCTGCACAGGGCGGGGTGCAGGGCCGCCGACCTGGTGCCTGCGTGGCAGTACACCTCCACCTGCCGCTGGGGCGTCTCCTGCACGCGGAACACGACTCGGTGTCATTCTGTGTGGGTCTACGGGTCTCTGTGTGGGTCTACGGGTCTCTGTGTGGGTCTACGGGTCTCTGTGTGGGTCTACGGGTCTCTGTGTGAGTCTACGGGTCTCTGTGTGGGTCTATGGGTCTGTGTGGGTCTACGGGTCTGTGTGGGTCTACTGGTCTCTGTGTGAGTCTACGGGTCTCTGTGTGGGTCTACGGGTCTCTGTGTGAGTCTACGGGTCTCTGTGTGGGTCTACGGGTCTCTGTGTGAGTCTATGGGTCTGTGTGGGTCTACGGGTCTGTGTGGGTCTACTGGTCTTTGTGTGAGTCTACGGGTCTCTGTGTGGGTCTACGGGTCTTTGTGTGAGTCTACGGGTCTTCGTGTGAGTCTATGCGTCTCTGTGTGGGTCTACGGGTCTCTGTGTGAGTCTACGGGTCTCTGTGTCAGATGATAATTGTTTTTTTACCCTTTTATCTGGCAACAAAACTGACACCTTTTTTACAAGGAGTCATGTTTGCATTGACCACATTACCTGCGGTCGGAATGCAAACAAAAAACACAACTATGATAATGTATGCACTGTCCTTGTGTTTTTTGTTTGAATTCCGACCGCAGGTAATGTGGTCAATGCAAACATGACTCCTTGTAATAAGTATAACCCGTAAAAACAAAGTTTTTCACTATAAATCCTTTATATGTGTGGCGGCTAGAGTCCTCTCGTCCTCTGGCTTGAGATGGCTGCCACCTATGGGTCAGATGATTGTCTGCCAGTATTAAGCAATTGGTAATTAAATATTGAATTTGTTTTCCCTAAACAGTGTAAAATTTTGGAAAAAAAATTTCACGAACATTAATTGTCTCGCACAACGAGTCTGTGTGCAAAATGTCAGCTCGATTGGATCACGGGAAGTGGGTTAAAAAACGACCGAAAGATTTGCACGGTCGTAAGCACGCAAGCAAGCAAGCGAACTTAATATAAAGGATTTAAAAAAAAAGGTGTCAGTTTTGTTGCCAGATAAAAGGGCAAGAAAACTATTCTCATATTTTGCTACTGGCAAAGGAGATTCCAATGGTGTCTCTGTGTCAATCTACGGGTTTTTTGTGCCAGCCTATGGGTCTCTGTGTGAGTCTGTGGGCCTCCGTATGAATCTGTGGGTCTTCGTGCGAGTCGATGGGTCGATGTGCCAGTCTATGGGTCAGTGTGCGTAGGGGATAGGGAAGGGTAGCGGAGGGGCGCGGGGGGAGGGAAGAGGAAGAAAGTGGGCGACGTGGAAGAGGCGAGGCCTTGAGAGAGGAGAGGAAGGAGGCGAAGGAGGGGGAGCGCTGGATGTAACCGTCTCCGCTGCCGGAGGAGCGGGGGGAGGCTGGGGCAGCGGCGTACCCGGGCCATGCGCTCACGGACGGCCTGCAAGAGCCAGGCGGTCCACAGCGCATCGCGCTTCGCGTCTCCGAAAGACACCCCCAGGTACTTGCTCCAGGTCTGTGAACCACGCGCACACACAAAGACTAAGATCCCCCGCATAGCCTTAACAATGCTGTTAGCGAGCACCTATGCAGGACGGCACGGCACACGAGGGGGTGGGTGGCCAGCACCACGCCCTGCCGCCTTTGTCTCCCTAGTGACGATGTTTACACACCGCACCGGATACTTATTTGAGGCTGGGTGGACCGATCGGAGGCCCAGGACCGGTTCAGATAATCGTCATTGGTGTTGGCTGTAGCAGGAATCGAACTTGGGTCGCCGGGTTCGTAGTGCAGTTGCGCTAACCATTACACACAAGCATAGATACACACACACCCATACAAACACACATACACGCAGACATATAGAACAAAGATCCCCCATATAGCCTTTCACAGACTGCTGGGTCAAGTGCTGCTAGCGAGCAGCAGCACCTAAGGAGCCGAGTGGCGGTGGCGGCTACTCTGCTGCTGCTGCACGTGGCTGCCTGTAGTCCAGCGCTGTGCAGGCGACAGCAGCGAGGGTTGGCGGATCACAGCACAGATGACTAAATGTTGCGTCGAGGAGGAGCTGTACCCCGGCTTGCCAGCGGAGTGTGGGATAGAGTGTTGCACCCTCGTGCAAGGCATGGGCTTTCTCCGAAGGGTGCTCCGGTTTGCTCCCACACGTCTAAGAAACACTCGCAAATTGTCTAAAAACGTCTTGATGCGGAGATAACCGCAGAGCCACTGTTGGTGCCAGCTCACCGCCTGGCAGCCTTCCAGCTTGGTCTGTGGTTCCTCAGCGATTGTGAGACATATTTACTGTACGTTGAACTTCTTTCGCACCGTACGTAGCCATCCGTGCTAATCGAAGGTACGGGGGAAAACACAAAAACGAACCTCGAACTCCAACGTGTCTTCGAACTTCAGGTTAATGGCGCTGGAATCCAGGAGACGTGGGGGGAAGATTCCCACAATGCACGACACTGCCCTCCGCAGAACATCCTCGCATGAGGAGGCCGGCAACATGGCCGCCTTGCCGCCCTCCTCCGAGAGTCCCTGCAGACGCCAGTCAAACGCGCGAGAGAGATTAAACCGTCACGCAAACTCCGGTGGTCATCCTCGCTGCAGCGACTTTTGGCTCGCCATCGAACAAAGACGGTGGTTACCGCATCGCGCGGCGCTTTCAGATGCCCTGCTTCTGCTGCCATCTGGAACGCTGATCCTTCCGATATAAGGAAGCCACTGGAGCTATGCACTTTGACATCATCTAGATTGACAAATTAATTTCCTAAGAACTGATTTTTGTGTTTAGTTTGTTGTCCTTCCCCCGAACCTCCGATGAGCACGGTTGGGTACGTACGAAGCGAAGGGTGCTCAACACAAAGACAGACTTGTGTACAGATGAGACAGAGGTGAGAGGAGATTCAATATGCGTTTAGGATGCCGGCCGTTGTGGTGCCATCCTACGATCGGCCAATTTGCAGGCACGGATTGGTGAGTCTGCCAAACCACGAGGGATGAGAGGGGGCCATCGCCCATTCCCTCCCTCTTCCCTCTCCTCGTCCCTCCACTCCATCCCGTCCCTCCCCTGCCGCCCTTTCGTGACCCCCGTGTGCCCTCTGTCACGGTCACTCACTCCTCAACCATCGCGCTGCCCCTTGCCATCTACACCACTCGAATTTTGTGACCGCTTTTAAACTTGTTATCGAGCGTGCCTTGAGCTGAGGCGCTCTCTGTAAATATCAAATAAGAATCGCCGCATTAGGGATTTCGGGGAGGGGGGCTACCGTGGGCCTCTGCGTGTGGGAGCCGCGGGGGGCCGGGGGGCCGCTCAAGCGCAGCACGGCGCCGGCAAAGAGCAGCGCCTTCAGCAGCAGCCGGTGGAGCTCCTCGGCGGGGCCGGGGGAACCGGCGACTTCGCAGCTCAGCTCCACGATGCGCAGCGCCATCTCCGGTGGGACGGCGTCGGCGCCACCAGCCGGGTCGCTGCTCAAATGGGGAGGGGCGGCGGGGGAGGGGCGGCACCGGCGCGTTGGTCACCGTCGTCGCCAGGGTGCAAATGCTGGGCTGACGTCATCGCCGTCGTCAACACCGTCATCGTCGTCATCCTGATCATCATCACCAACATCAGTCATCACAATCATCCCAACCGTCATCACCAACATCAGTCATCATCACCATTGTCATCGCAGTCATCATTATCATTATCACCACCACCACCATCATCATCATCGTGGCTTGAGATGAAACTCAACGCGTCCGTCAATGACAGTTCTGTGTACGTGGCCTTCTAAGAAAGTTTAAAACAACTGTGATTGTGCACGACCACTGCCAACGTGGCAGCAGCAGCAGCATCGCCAGATTATTTATGCCTGCAGCAAGTGCCGATAAAGTGGCGAAACCGGAATGTTTCGCAAAATAGTTATAATTATCTTTACGTAGCGTCGGTCATGCAAAACTGCATTCCAATCCAATGTCTCCGACACGGCCATTATGACGCCCCTCACCCCCAATCCCGTGGGGGGCCACTTAGCGACCTCGACAAACTTACCTCCCTCGGTCAACGCCCCCCACCTTGTTCGTCACGATTTCTAAAACCTTCTGCAGAGCCTGTCCGAGCAAAGAGGAAGACACACAGGATATCGTCGGTGATGAGCAAATCATCGCGTGAGAAGGAACCAGAGAACACTGGAGGAGAAAATCAACCTTACACAAAGACAAAGATCCCCCGTGCAGCCTTTATAGACTGTTGGGGCAAGTGCTGTTAGCGAGTAGCACCTATGAAGGCCGTCACGGCACACGAGGGGGTGGGCGGCGGGCACCACGCCCGGCCGCCTTTGTCTCCCCAGTGGCGATGTTCACACACCGCACCAGATACTCATTTGAGGCTGAGTCGACCTAGGGGAGGCCCAGGAGGGATTCAAATAATCGTCATCGGTGTTGGCCGTGAGCGGGAATCGAATTAAGGTTGCCGGGTTCGTAGTGCAGCGTAGCGCTAAGCGCTGTACTACCGCTCCCCTACACACACGCAGGCAAGAGGAGATACCACTCAGAGATGTGCACAGACGGGCTCACGAAACCGCTTGCTGTACTGCCGGTCCCTGGCCACCTGGCAGCTTCAGAGTGATTGGGAGGTTCAGAGATGTGGGGCGGTCACTTGACCAACGGGCGCGCCTTCGATGCTTATTGCAGAGGTTCGTCGTTTGAGCCCAGCGGTCTCCCTGGTCAATATTGCGGTGTGGGTAATAACCCTTTCTCGTCCTGATGACGTTCCCATGACGTGCGTGTACACGTCATCGGAACGGAACCAGAAGCAAAACTGAAATAAGATAACTTTATCGGTACCGAGGCTCCCACAAGGCCATGCGGGAGGGCGCGTGGCACAGTTTGGCGCCGGCTATTGCAGAGTGCCGGCGATCGCGTCGCTACGGTTCTCTGCGGCGAGTAACGTCTTTAAAAACAACGCCGCTGCTGCTGCGCCTCTCTAAATACAATGAACGCCGAGCAGCTCGCTCGCTCCGAGATTCGGCGGTGTGAGCGGGACCCCCAGCCCACAGCTCGCAGACATCTCGGAACGACAAAGGGTGAATCAAACGACACGACTGCTCATCGTCCGATTCTGAGCGCCGGATCACAGGGGCCCGCAGCGGCGCTGTCGTCGGCACTGCGCGCGACCGAACCTGGCTCTCGGTCTTCTTCTGCTGCTGCTGCCGCTGGTGCTGCTGCTGTGTCAGCGCCCGTAGACGGAAGCAGACGTAGCGCACGACGTCCAGCGGGGGCAGCGGCAGCAACTCGAGCAATTCGGGGACGTTGGAGGGGAAGAGGCAGCCGAGCGTGGCGCGCGGGAGGAGCCGGTCCATGTCGAGAAGATGCTTGAACTCCACGAGCAGCTCGATCAGGCGTCTGGCAACGGGCACGGCAAAATTAAAACTATAAATATGCAGCAGCCGGCGTCGTCAGGGTCGGGATCGAACCCACCATCTCCCGTTATACCAGGCGAGGTAGTTAACATCTCTCCATCGCGGCGCCCGTGATACTGGCGGAGGGCACACCGCGACATCAGCGGCTTTCGGCCCGCGATGACCTCCCGACCCCGGCACGTCCTCGGATGTCGCGCTGTACCTCTTGGTGTCCCTGTTTCCGTAGACGAGTCTGCGCATGTCGCCGTACGCGACGCCCTGCAGGCCGGCCCACGTCCCCTCCGCGTCGAGACCCTCGACGCCGGGTGTGAAGGGCGCCGCCCTGCCGCTCACAAAGTGCAGCAGCGGCACGGCCAGCAGCCAATCGGGGAGGCCGGCCTTGGCACAGCTGGAGCAGAGGGCCGTGAGTGATGGCACCAGCCTGGGGGCGCGGGCACGCACACGGGGGTGGGTCAGGGCAGAGTTCTGGGAGGAGATTCTCTCCTCTGCGGCGACGACGCACGGATGACGCTCGCGTGTCCTTGTCTACTGGCGTATGAGGAGATGTTAACTACCTTGCCTGGTACGCAGGAGGTCGAGGGCTCGATCCCGACCCTGACGCCTTCTGTAATGTGGAGTTTGCGTGTTCTCTCTCTCCGTGGCCACGTGGATTCGTCTCCGGGTCTTTCAATTTCTCCCTCCACATTTAGAATCGACGTGCGTTTATAGAGTATTTGGCCGCTATAAATTTCCACGTGATAAGCCACTTCGCTGAGCTGTTATTTATGACCAGGTCGCTTCTGAAAAAAAGCTATGTAGCACAGTGGGCCTTACCTGGTAAAACTAAAAGTTTAGTTTAGTTTATGTTAATAATAATGGTAAGAAAGAGGCGCCTTTCACCCGGAGACCATAAGGCACTCGATAAAACCCAACTAAAACTAAGATAAACTATTTTTAATTTTACTAGGTAAGGCCCACTAAGCTATGTAGTTGACCACAAATGACAGCTCAACAAAGTGACTTATCTTCAGGAAATTTATAGCAGCCAAATACTCTGAACAAATTAAATAAAAACCGGAGGACCCAAATAAAAATCCACATGATCACAGGGAGAACACGCAAACTCTAAATATGCAGCAGGCATCAGGGTCAGGATCGAACCCACGACCTCCTGCGTACCAGGCGAGGTAATTAACATCTGACCACTACGGCCTCCTCAACGATCCCCCCGTGTAGCCTGTTTAGGCCTGTCTAGGCTACACGGGGAGATCGTTGTCTGGACCGCCCTGTTCGGCCCCTCGGTGAGTAGGCAGAGGCTTCCGCGGCCCTCGCGCCCGAGTCAAAATCTACGCCACGGGAGCGAGTGACTTGCCAGCTGTTCAGGGAGAGGGCCTGGCAGCGGTCTCTGATGGCGCTCTCGTTCTGGCTGGCGGGCAGAGACAGCATCTGGCAGATGGCCTGCAGTTGGGCGGCGGGAAGGCCGATCTCGTGATCGTGCAGCAGTCGGGCGGCGATCATCGCCGAGTCCGCCGCGGAGAGAGGCAGGACGCTGGCGGCCGAGTCACGGTCGGTGTGGCTCTTGACGATCTTCACGATGAGATCCGACAACATCTCGTTCACCTGGCAATGCGGGAGGAGGAGGGGGTAGGGGGAGCATACATCACAGCAGAGAATCATTACACAAGTATCAAAGTATTAATAGCTTGGGTTGAGCAGTTATGCAGACTTCAGCCCCTTGCAATACGTAGCAATTTCGTGTTTGAACATCTTAAAACATCCTGTTTTATTGCCAGAAAGGGTAAAACCTATTTACACGTTTTATTCATTTTGATACTGGTTGAGTAACATCGCTGGATGGCACCATGCTGTGGGTGCAGTACCGGCCCTAGAGGGGGACGGCGTGTGGGTGCCGACCGAAGGGTAATGTTGCGTGAGGCCATGGCACTCTGGCTGACCCGGGAGGACACGTGACCGGTTAAGATGACAGGGGGCCCCCAAGAGGGGGCTGGGGGGTCACGTGATTGGGACTGAGGTCCTCCTAATGGTTCTGAAAGGTGGACGTGGCCAAGAGCCGGCCACGTCGCAGAGAATATCAGCCGAGTCCCGAGAGGGATCGTGGTGGTTGTTGTTCATCCCGGGAAAGAAACCCTTCGTCTACGATCTCCCTTCTACGAGTCTTCCAGCACGTGGACCTGGGCAGATGCTGTTGGTCCCGGAGTAACAGTTACGTTATAACTAGTGTAGTTAGCCGGGTGGTCACCACCCTAGGTTGTTATTCTGTTAAGGGGAAGTTTACCCCATGTGCGCTGCCTCCAAAGTCTACGTCTGCGAGTCGGTGAACCCACTACACTGGCAAAAAGGTATCCCATAGATACAAATGTAAGATGATGTTTGTAACGCGCACGGCGTTCTACAGAGACAGAGAGGGTTCGCCAGACACGTGGTAAGGCAGCCGTAACCAGAACATTTCCCAAGCTCTGTGGTCCTATATTGGGATATTGTTTCGTTTGGCCATCACCATTAATATAATTTATTTACAACCCGGCTCAATGTAAATTGAGTTTTCAAGATTGAAAACTAATTTCTTCAGAACTGCTTCTTGTGTTTAGTTTGTTGTCCTTCCCTCGCACCTCGGATCAGCACGGTTGGCTACGTACGCTGCGAAACAAATTCAACATACAAACCCAATCAGAATCTTTATTTATCCTGGAGAAATCCGACGAGCTATGAAGCTCTAAATCACAGATGTCCAGTTGGAGAGGTGGGTCAGAACACAAAGGAACAGGGACAGAGGGAAGCAGGAGGAGGAGGGTAACTACCTGTGCTTTGCCAAACTCCAGATCCACCCAGCGCTTGTGACGCCCTTCATGGATCCAGGGGTTACCAAAGCAATGGGTGAACTGCCACAAATGGTTGAAGAAACTCTCCAGATTGTCCGGGGTGCAGGCGCGAAGGTTCCCACAGATCTCCTCCAGGTGCACTCGGCCTGCGCATGACAGAATCAGAATCTCCATTTAGGCTGGAGGAGGAATCCGAAGAGCTATGAAGCTCTTTATCACAGATGTCCAGAAGGGGCACCACGGGTCAGCGAGTTACAACAAACGAACGGTAAAACACCAAACGATGAGAGTACAAAATAGAGAAAAGGTAAGCAGGTAATTATGAATTCATATAAATAAGTATACGGGTATACATCCCTGCCGATTTGTCAACACTGAATGATCACCGCGACATCACGTTTCACGGCACAATTATATTTATCACAACGCATTGACAATTAAAAACATCTTTTTTTAAACAAATCTATTCTGTGATGAGCAAAGCCCGTGGTAAGAAAATAATTAGCACGGGAAAACATAGGTTTAACAATGCTCTGAGGTGTGCACTGTGTGTTCAAACACTCTAAGCCTTGTGTGTTCTTATTATGATTAGTTGCTGCATCGCATTCACTACATTTGTGTATTCCTGTTGCACTTGTTTGATTCTCTGCTTTAATCTCTCTAGTTCAGCAGCTCATGGTTCAGACACTCCTCCTCAAATATAAACATTTGAGGTTTGTCTCCCACCCTCCTCTTTAGGTACCGCCGCTTCCTATTCATGCCCCACCCCCTACCTCTTCAGTCCTCACCCCTTCCTCTTCAGTCCTCACCCCTTAATCTTTAGTTCCTACCCCTTTCTCTTGAGTCCGGCCCATTTCTGTTGAACTCAGTGTCTGATTCTTTTAGCCGACTAGTCTCAGAAAATTGCTCAAGTCAATTCTACAGAAGAGGAGTGGACTATAATTCCACACGCTGTCATTGCCAAGACTAAAAACACTTTTCCATCAGCCAAATGTCACAGGTAACAAAAAAACCTCAGCATGTGCGTCAATAACACTGTGTGAGTGTGAGTGCGCGTGCGTGCCGCCTTAAAATATTAACAACATATTTAAATAAGCGAAGTGTTGGGCAATGGCCGAGAGGTAGCGTCGTCATCACAGCTCGGCTTCGGAGGTAGAAAAAACGACACCGGGAGCCTCTCCGCCGAGCCTCGGCAGGCCGGCTCAGGCTCGGCACGGCCCCGGCACGGCCCCGGCTCGGGTTGTACAAATGGAAAAAAGTAGAGAGACAGGGCGGCCGCGACGAGGATTGGCGACGCCAGCGCGGTGGAGGGTGCCCTACCGGCCAGCCTCTTGCCGTTCTGCACGTCCTTGTTCAGATTGAACTTGTCCTTGAAGAACGCGACCAAGCTGCCGGGCGGCGGCGCGCAGATGACGTCGTCGTACTGATGCCACGAGCCTGCGGGGACGGGACGACGACGCGAGTGAGCCTCCGCCACCCCCAGCCCCTCCCCCGTGCGAGCCCGCTATGAGGGTCAAGGCAGCCCTGGAGTTACTCGTTTACGCAAACCGCTGGTGGAAGACCCCCCCCCCCCCCCCCGATAACATTCCAATTGCGGAGGACCTGTCTGTGTAGACCTGTCTATGTGGCACTGTCTGTCTGGATCTGTCTGTCTTGACCTGTCTATTTTTTCTCTCTGCACTCTGGGCATCCTCCCACGTGAAGCAAAAACACTCATTAAAACTAAAAAATTAACTATTTCTATTGGACCAGGTAAGGCTCCCTGAGCTATATAGCTCTTTTTTTCAGAAGCGACCTTGCCACAAATGATAGCTCAACCAAGTGGTTTATCACGTGGAAATTTTTAGCAGCCAAATACTTTCAACGCATGTTGATTCTAAATGTGGAGGGAAAAACCGGAGGACCCGGAGAAAAATACACGCGACCACTGGGAGAGAGACACGCAAACTCCAAACATGCAGGCGTCAGGGTCGGGATCGAACCCACGATCTCCTACACACCAGGCGAGGTAGTTAACATTTCACCACCATGGTGCCTCATCATTCCACACTCTCACCTTCTCTAGCCACGTGCGTATACGTGTGTGTGTGTGTGTGCACGCGAAAGCCACGCTGCAGGATCCCCTCTGCCACTATTGCTGTGAAGGCTGTAACGAAGCTCTGTTCTATCTGAGGCTGTGTTACACAAGGGAGGATTTCTCCACAACTCGGGCTGTCGCCTGATGATGCTAGTTGTAATTACGGGCGAAGAGTCGTAATCAAATTGTAAATGTTGTGGATTTAGACTCCAACACACCGGTGTACTGTAATAGTAACGAATTGGCACATTTTGTTTACGTGACAAACCTTACTAATTGGCTGCGTCGGGTTTAACGACCCATTTATATTTACACCATCTAACCCAAAACCTCTATTTATGGATAATGTTGGTCGCGAAAGCCTCCTACGTGTTAAGCTTACACAAGGGTGTACTCTGCACGCGTCCGTGGCAGACGCTTTGACACCGCTGTTGTCCCAGCCTACGGGTCACAGGAGCAGCGCCCTTACCGTCTTTGGTGCAGTACTCGGGGGGAACAAACATGGAGCGGTTGAGATGCACGTCCTTGGGCTTGTCGTGCTTGTAGATGCACTCGTACTTGATCTTAGACTCCTTCACCACCACGTATTTGTAGGCGACATTCTTCCCGCTCCGCAAGGTCTCCATGCTCACATCGCAGCACCCCTCCATCAGCAATCCACTCTCCCCGAGATCTCTGCGTGGATGAGACGCGGGAGGGGGGGGGGACGGACAGACGGACGGGCAGATGGACGCGGCATCGACTGCTCCGGTGAGAGGCGGTGGAGGGGGGGGGCGTTCAAGCACCTTGGTGCTGCACGATGCCGAGATGCAATGCCGCTCAGAGTCCTGGGATTCGAATCTCAAGTATAGAGAGTTAATTCTAGATTTGAAGCTTTCGTGACTGCAAGGATTCATATTCTTAGGTTTTTTCGGTAAAGTCACGTAGGTAAAACATCAAAATTAATAAAAATAAAACAAAACAAAAATCACGACGTTTCGGAGGCAACACAAGTCTCCGTCATCAGGTGGGACCGTCACAGCCGGATTAGCTGCATCAAGTGAGGCAATGATTCAAGATGTAATCCCTTAAAAAGCAAGTTGAGGGGGAGGAGAGGGGGGGGAGCTCATCAGAATGTGGTAGCCAATGAATGGAACGCATCGGGAGGGGGGGGCGGGGCCAAAAGAACGCACGTCGGCGTGGACGCTGTTGGTGTTGCACAACGCATCGGGAGGGGGAGGGGGGGGCGGGGCCAAAGATTGCACGACGGCGTGGAAGCGGTTGCTGTTGCACAACGCCAACGCATTGGACAGAGAGGGGGAGGGGGAGGCCTGATACACATGATAGAAAAAGAGCGAAAATGCCCATGTTTATACCAATGCTGGCTGAACAATGAAGAGAGTACTGTTAAACACTGGGGATGTTAACACTCGGTAAAGTAAAGTAAGATAGTGCCTGTCAGATAAGATGGTCCAAAAAAGTGTAATTGACTTTACCGACTTTACCGAAAAAAACCTAAGAATATGAGTACAGAGAGTTGTTGGTGTCAGCCTGGTCACCAATTACCCACGAAGAGCACCATCGACTCAAATGGAGATCCATAGACATACATGGAGACCTTTAGACCCTCACAGATAAAGTTGTAATTAAACCGGGTTCTCAAGTTGAAGGTCTCAGCCTGGTCAGCTGTGACTCACGCAGAGCACCGTAGACTTACAATGGAAATCCACGGACTGACACTGACCACGTTTGGTTAAACTTTGTCCTCAAGGGCAGTGAGTTGATGGTCTAGGTCACTCCCGACTGGACACCTGTGATCCACTAACCCCCTCTGCTGCCTCCACCAGTGCTCGATGACCATCGTGCGTGGCCATCACAGCCGCCACATGCGTTCAGATTATTTATATCATTTGGCTGCTCCAAATTTCCAAATAGTGATAAGCCACTTCGTCGCGCTATCATTTGTGGCCTGGTAAATTTTTGTTGTTTAGAGATTTTATTTTTCGATTTAAAGCTTTCGAGACTGCAGGGATTCATCTTCTTGGTTCTTTCGGTAAAGTCACGTAGAATGAAAACAATTAAAATAATAAAATAAAACATAATAAAATATTTCTCATGACGTTTCGGCCACAACGCAAGCAGCCGTCATCAGGTGAAGACCAGGTCTGTCTCCCCGACAGACATGAGAATTATTGTATTATGTTTTATTTTATTATTTTTATTGTTTCTGTTTAGTGATTTGTTTACATTTCTTATACTTTGCACTCCTGTTGTGTTTTTAAAATGTGTTTGTCGTTGTAAAGTTCTGACCCCGTGCCGCTTCTGGATATCTGTAGAAAAAGAGATTTGTAGCTCATCGGATTGCTCCTGCAGTATAAATAAAGATTCTGATACCCCTCTTTTTTTTTCCAAACGTCGGCAAGGGATCTTTCAAATGTCCTCTGCGAAGAAGACAGATGGGATGGAGCAGCGTTCACGGTCGGCACACCAAGCGGTGTGGTAAGATAAAAGATAGTTGAGTTTGTATATATTTTTTAAGTTATTTGTTTACCACACCTATACTTTGCCCTCCTATTGTGTTATTTTTGTATTGTTTGTTGTTGTAATGCGCCCCTAACTGGACACCTGTTTTAAAAAATAACTTTATAGTTCGTCGGATTCCTCCTCCAGTATAAATACAGATCCTGATTGTGATCAACTTTTGCGAATACCTCTTCAAGTCCAGGCGGCCAGCGGAAGTCATCCAATTCCCTGCCAGGTCCTGCGATCGCAGCTCCAGGCGGTTGCGGCTCGGGTCGAAATGAAAATCCTTCGAGAGCACAGCGTGGAAGTGAAGACTCATCTTGGGGCGGCCCTCCTGCTCGCCTTGCCGCCTGCGCTCACCGGCGAGAGACGGGGAGGAGAGAGGGGGGGGGGAGAAGAATTTTCGAATGGCGGCGCGCGGGACGACGGCATCAACCTGCGTCAATCTGCGCCACCCCCCATCATCCCCTTCGTCTCACGGGATGCTCCACCGCGTCGCAGTGGGAGCGGTGCTACGTCGATATTGTTGGTTGGTTCGGTGGGGGCAGCGGTGGTGAGATGTTAATGCCGTCGCCTGGTATGCAGGAGGTCGTGGGTTCGATCCCGATCCTGAGGACGCCTGCTCTATATTTGGAGTTTGCATGTCTTTCTCTCCCTGTGGTGGCGTGGATTTTTCTCACGAGTTCTCCGTTGTTTCCCTCCCACATTCAGAATCGATGTGTGTTCAAAGTTTTTGGATGCTGCTCTAAATTTTCAAGTGATGGAAAGTCGATTCGTTGAGCGATCATTTGTGATAGCCATGCCGCTTCTGAAAAACAGCTACTGAACATAGCTCAGTGGGCCTTGCCTGGGAATATAAAATTTCAATGTTTAGCCTGAGCGGTATTACTCGTACCAAAGATCCACGTTGTCTCTCTCCTGTGGAACTGTCCCACTGGGCCCAGAGCTCGAACTCAGCGGTGTCTGGTGAGAAAATACAGAAAATCACGCACACGCGTGTGTATACAGTATGCACAGTGGGGAACGTTGGCGCAGTGGTTCGTGCACAATGCTACGAACCCAGCAACCCGGGTTCGATTCCCAGTGTAAACTAAACGATTAAAACAACCCCCATCACTTATCCCTAGCCCAGCATCATCCTGCTACTGCGACTCCCTGTCCCCGTGCCCCAGCTAAGACCAGGCCAAGCACTACTCCTATCACGACCTCTCTCACTACCCCAACCTCTATCACTACCTCCATCACTACCCCAACCCCTATCACGACCTCTAACACTACCCCTACCCCTATCACTACCCCTATCACTACCCCTAACCCCTATCACTACCTCTACCCCCTATCACTACCTCTCCCATTATCCCAACCCCTATCACTACCCCTATCACTACCCCAACCCCAATCACTACCCCTATCACTACCCCTATCACAAGCTCTAACCCCTATCACTACCTCTATCCCTACCCCTACCCCCTATCCCTACCCCTACCCCCTATCCCTACCCCTATCACTCCGCCTATCACCACTCCTACCCCAACCCCTCCTTCACCACTCCCACCTTGCCCTCCTGTCACTAGAACTACACCACCACTTTTATTAACCACAACCACCACAATAAGAGCCCCACTCTTTATCTCAACCGCCAGTCATCCGACGTACAATTATTTAGCTATCGTAAAGCGCCTTGGACGAAGGCGCTGCCGTACAAATCTCTACAGGATCAGCACGAGCATCGCCGAACCACGTACCAGGCGCTCTGTGCGTCCGCCTCCGTCAGCTACCGGGGCCCGGCCACCTGGGGGAAGAACGACCGGAACTCTGGTCAGGCACCACTCGTGGTGAGGACGAGAGACAGACCGTTGATTATTATTGTTGTTGTTGTTATCATCGTACGTGTTGATGTTGAGCCTCTTTCGCACCGTACGTAGCCAACCATGCTAAGGAGGTGTGGGTGAAGGACAACAATAAAAGCTGTTCTAAAAAAACTAGTTTGTCAATCTAGATGATGATTTTAAATTGCATAGCTCCCAATGGCTTCCACATACCAGAAGAGCGTTCCAGACGGCCACAGAATATATGTCCCCCCCACCCCTAAAAAATAAAACCTCATAACTGTGTAAAAAAAAGTTGTATGTTCCAGTGATATGAGTGGTATTTAGAGAGAGAGGAGTGAATGTATTTCTGGTATTTGTATTGCTGGTACTGAGAGAAGGGAATGCGTTTTGTCAACAGGGGTGGGGGGCTGGGTGGTCCGCGGTAATGTTGACATTGGATGAGTGGTCTCACAGGCCAAACAAGTTTTAAAAAACAGTGCTCGACTAGTTTAGAATATGCGTAATTACGTTGAACTTCGTTCGCACGGTACATAGACAACCGTGCTTGAGCTCCAAAGTGAAGTGGTGAGCGCCGGTACCTTGAGAGTCGTGGCCAGGCGTGGAGTCTCCACGTGCCGATGATTCCGCAGAGCACGTGGCCCTGTCTTCATGGTGTGTGACATCGTCTGTAGCTGACGGTGTGGCCTCAGGGTGTGTGACGTCAGTACGTGACGGTGTGGCCTCGGGGTGTGTGACGATGTCTGTACGTGACGGTGTCGCCTCAGGGTGTCTGACGTCTGTACGTGACGGTGTGGTCTCAGGGTATGTGATGTCTGTACGTGACGGTGTGGTCTCAGGGTGTGTGATGTCTGTACGTGATGGTGTGGCCTCAGGGTGTGTGACGTCTGTACGTGACGGTGTGGCCTCGGGGTGTGTGACATCTGTAGCTGACGGTGTGGCCTCAGGGTGCGTGACGTCTGTACGTGACGGTGTGGCCTCAGGGTGTGCGACATCGTCAGCATGTGACGGTGTGGCCTCAGGGTGTGTGACATCATCAGTACATGACGGTGTGGCCTCAGGGTGTGTGACATCGTCAGTACGTGACGGTGTGGTCTTGTTGTCTTCGTGTGATTCTGCGGTCTCCGAAGGCGGTCGCTTCTCTTCGGCAGTTGCTTCACCGGCTGAACACCGTCGCTCACCGCCGAACGCCGCTGGTGAGCTTGCCGGACCGGCCCGCTCGTCCGCCCCACGCGCCGCCGACAGGTCCCCTCGCTCGGCCCCACATTCGTCGCCCGCCGAACCCAGAGGGTCTCCGGGCCGGCCGTCACGGGACGGCGACGATTCCTCCGGACGGGAACCCTCGGCGCCAACTTCCCAGGGGCCTTGGGAAGTCGTGCGACCTCCTGCGCACGTCGGCGAGTCTCCCGGAGCAGGCGGGTTGACGCCGGGCGCAGGCGCGTCTTCCCCCGGCCGCCCATCGTCACCGGCAAAGGACGTTCCGCCTTCGTCCGTTCGAGGAGTCCCAACGTCCGTCGAGGAGGAGGGGCCACGACCTTCATGAGCTGCTGCCTCGTGACCAGGCTGGTCAGACCTTGTTGCTGCCACATCCGACCGCTCGGCGGCTGCAGGAGCTGCAGCAGGAGCTGCAGCAGGAGCTGCAGCAGCAGCAGCAGCAGGAACAGGAGCAGCGGCAGCAGCAGCAGTCGCAGCAGGAGCAGCACCAGGACCGGTAGCAGCAGCAGCAGGAGCGGGCGATTTGCTCACATCCCCAAGACTCCGGCCACACTGACTACAGAAGCGGTCTCCGTCGCGCGGCGTGCTTGAGCAGTCGGGGTTGGTGCACCGCATCCTCCAGCCGGCGGAGGCTGTCGCCCGCACCGCCCTTCTGCAGAGAGAGGGAGGGACACGGGGACACGGGCGCGGATAGCAAGCGAGCGAAGGCGACTTGGCCGATGGGCTGACCGTGCATACTGGAGCCAGGCGTACAGCTGAGTGGACAGAGATGTAATCAACTCGCCCCCCCAAGTGTTTCACAACTACCGCGCTGCCGGGAGATGAAATCTAATCGGTGCCCTCTGGATTCCAGGTCAAGTGTGGGCTGCTATGAACTGGTGACCTCTGGTTTGAAGGTCAAGTGTGAGCTGATATGAACTGGTGATCAAATATACAATATGCATTGTTACGTTTTTCCATGAGTCCGCTCGATCTCGGAAGTTAAGAAGACATGAAGCTGGATAGTAGTTAGATGGGCCACCACCATACAAACAATATAAGCAGCACACTGTTTTGAGTCTATAAAATCCATGTGATAATCCACTTGGATGAACTATCATTTGTGGCCAAGTCACTTCTGAAAAAGAATAACTAAAAGCTTTACCTCGATTTTTTTGTATTTGTAATGGTTTCCTTACCTTTCCTATGCTTTGCATCGTTTAGTAAATACAACAAACCAAACACAAAAAGCAGTTTTAAAGAAAAACACGATAGGAAGAATACTCATTGTTTTTTTTCGGTAAAGTCACGTATGTAAAAATAAAATAAAATTTGAAAAAAAATGTAATAAATCAAAATAAAATACATTTTAAATTAATTAACAAAAAATAAATCATTATTTATTTATTTTTATTTAAATTTTATTAAAATAAATCAGTGATTTCTTTTAATTAAATTGTATTTATTTACATTTTATTTTGTGTCTACATACGTGACTTTACCGAAAAAAACAATGAGTATAATTTCTGCAGTCACGAAAGCTTCAATCCTAGACGATATGAATATTTTGCACTATTGTGTGTGTTGTACTGTTTGATGTTGTAACCTCTCCGACCCCCGTGCCCCGACTGGACACCTGTAAAAAAAGAGCTTCATAGCTCATCGGATTACCCCAATATCACCACGGAGATGGATCGATAAACTCTGCTTGTGCACAGGGCCACGAGATTGATTTCCCATCGCTTTGGGGAGGCGTTCATACAGCAGTGGATAGAGCACGGCTAGAGAAGATGATGGTGTGACAAAGGTCCCCCGCGTAGCCTCTAACAGACTGTAGGGGCAAGGGGGGTGGGTGGCCAGCACCACGCCCGGCCGCCTTTGTCTCCCTAGTGATGTTTCCAACACACCGCACCAGGTACTCCTTTGAGGCTGAGTGGACCTAGGGGAGGGAGGCCCCTAGTTCGACTCGCACGATACGTTCACAACGTTGCTTGTATTTTTTTATTTAAAGCTTTCGTGACTGCAGGGATTCATCTTCTTGGTTCTTTCGGTAAAGTCACGTTGAAGGGAAATAATCAAATTAAAACATAATAAAAATTAAATAAAATTTTAAAAAACGTTGCTTGTGTATACACAACCGATAACACGAGCAATAAGTAGATTTTTCTTCGTGCGAGCCACCCACTTTTATCAGCACATGAAATGTGATTCATTGTGGGGTGAAAGGAATACTTTTCGTACACTTTAGAAAGGCTTGGTTTTTTAAACTTAATTTTGTTAAGACCTTGTAGTAGAGATGACGATGATGGTTCTAGATTAGAAGTTTTCGTGACTGCAAGGATTCATACTATTTGGTTATTTTGGTAAAGTCACGTAGGTAAAAATGTAAAATAATTTAAATCAACTTAGCGAAAGGGGTGTTGTGCTTTCGCTAAGTTGTCCCCACCTGAAGAAGGACGCTTGTGTTGCGCCCGAAACGTCGTCATTTAATTTATTTATTTACCGGCGTGACTTTACCGAAAAAAACAGAGTATGACGATGATGGCTTTGCCTGTCAACCCCTTGCCCCACAAGAGATGAAAGAAAGCATGCGCATTGCTACATAACAGCAGTCTACGAAATGAAAGTTTGATGGCATGCATCACGGCTATTACAATAATACAATTTGAATACTCTTAGGTTTTTTCGGTAAAGTCACGTAAGTAAAAAATAAATAATAATAAAAAATAATACAAGATATTAGAATTAATTTTATTTTTTCTATTATTTTTTGTATTATGATAAAAATAAATAATAGAGAAAACTATTTTATTTCTATTATTTTTTCTATTATAAAAATTTATAATAATAGAAAAAATTATGTATTTTTTTCTATTACTTATTATTTTCCTACGTGACTTTACCGAAAACACCTAAGAGTATGAATCCTTGCAGTCACGAAAGCTTCAAATCTACAATTAGAATCGCGCTCACGCCGATTGCAAAGTCGTCAATTGCCACTGACACCACCACGAGACGCACAGGGCGCTGTACTGTAAGAGAGTAACATTGCATATCGTGAGAACGTATTGCACGTGCACAGATTTAGCACTTTAATCGAAAGCGTGTATATCAACATCGTTGATTAGAGAATTTTGCCGATAAAAAATTATCGATAACTTTGGTGGATTTCATTGTAAAACGACGATCGCGGTTCTCGCCTGCTCACTCAACTTCAGCACAACCATGTTGCCCTCAGCGTGCTAGAGGGAATGATAAGACTATTTAAGACAACTATATAATTATTGTAGCAACAGTAATCATCATTGTTGTTGTTGTTGCTGCTGCTGTTGTTGTTGGTGTCTAGCTGAGGGAGGAACACAACGGCCGTTTCGGCGCCATGACGGGCGGCGATGTCAACGCGCGCCTCTCATTGGTCAGAGGCCGCCCAGCAACAGCCGCTCTGATTGGACGAAACTTTGCCCGCGGAGCTGGGCGTGGCCATTGGAGATTTTTTCAAAATGGTGGAGGGGTAAACACGTGTTGCATTTCGATTTAAAGCTTTCGTGACTGCAGGGATTCATCGTCTTGGTTCTTTCGGTAAAGTCATCACGTAGAAAGAGAAAATAATACATTCAAAATGGTGGAGGGGGTAAACCACGTGTTGCATATTATTAAAATTAAGTTTTAAAAACATGAATAGCCCGGGATCGGCAGGACCTGGACCGGTTTTTGTTTAATTAAATCTTCAAACGTCACACGAGGCGAGTCTGTGTAGACACTATCAGCTCGTTCGGCTTCGTAGATCCGAAGATATTTCTCTCGGATCTGTCCGCGGCTTTCGACCTCCTTGATGGCTCCATCCTCTTATCCACTTCTCTCCGATTCTGCCTCGCCACGTGCCCCCCTCGCCACGTGCCCCCCTCTACACGTGCCCCCCTCGAGCCCATCCTCGCTTCTCTCAATCTCTCGTGCCACCGATTCGCCGACGACGCTCAAATCTTTCCCTTTAAGGCTCTGACCCCCGACCTTTCCCACCACGTCCCAACCTGCCTACTGGACATCCAAACGTGGATGGCACAAAATGTAATTCCCCTTCACCCTTCTAACACCACCGTGCTCGACTCTGCCGCCTCTCCTCCTAACCCCTCCACGTCTTTCACCCCGTTCAGTCATCTTCCTTCACTTCCAACCGCTGCCTCTTGAAATTGCTCACCTTAGTTTGCAAAGCTTTGCATGGACTGCCCCCCCCCCCTCTTACCTCTCTCCTCTCATCTTCCTTCTATGCTCCATCATGCCCACTCCGGTCACAAGCTGTCAATCTTCTTCCTCCTCCACCCTGCGCCCAGTCTCACTTTCACTCCGTCTCGCTGCTTGCCGCCTTACACTGGGACACGCTCCCCTCTCCACATGCTACTCTCCCCTCGCTGTCCTCTTGTATCACTGCCCACACAGGCTGTCCTCTTGTATCACTGCCCACACAGGCGGTCCTCTTGTATCACTGCCCACACAGGCGGTCCTCTTGTATCACTGTCCACACAGCCTTGTTTCCTCTACCGCGACCAGCACCACCCAGCGCCCTGGACGCCTCCTGCCACAGCCTCCAACCCTCGTCACTGCCCCATCCCTCATCGTGCCGTGTTGTACTGGCGTCAGTAGGCATTGGCAAGCGCCTTGGTGAAAGGCGCTTTATAAACACACGGTAGCGTATTAAGCGTCAAAGACAACAGGGCAAGCTCAATAAAAGTGTGTCAAAATAATGCAAGTGTGTCAAAAAGGATACAAGAGGCGACGTTTCGGGCAACGGGCCTCCCTTCACAGCACACAGAGAGGCCCAAGGTCGATGAGATCTACATGCTGTGAAGGGCCATTGCTTGAAACGTCTGATTATATATTCATAATAGAGTTTTTGTGACATCGCGTAGATATGAATGTGTCGTTAAACCCGTCACCACCCTACACAGCCAGTTAGTAACGTTTGTCATGTAGACAGAACGTGACAATTCGGTGTGCAGTCAACATCGCCAGCACTGGGGAGACAAAGGCGGCCGGGTGTGGTGCTGGCCACCCATCCACACGTGTGCCGTCTCACCCTTAATAGGTGCTCGCTAACAGAACTTGCCCCTACAGTCTGTTGAGGCTACACGGGGGATCTTTGTCTACATAATATACAGGCGGTCCGGATGTCTTGTGATGCCCATTTAAGTATCTAAGACTTAACATTTAAAAGTAAAGTTTATATCAGTGGGAGGTCACAAGACATCTGGACCACGCTGTACATGACAGATGTAAGTGACGTTTGCATAATAAAGGTGACCAATTTTGGCGAATCGCCTGAGACACAAAGACGCTGGGGAGGAGAGATATGTGTATCTACTCGTGCGTGTGTGTACTCTGTGTACTCTGTGTGTACTCGTGTGTGTGTGTACTGTGTGTGTACTCTGTGTGTGTGTGTACTCTGTGTGTGTACTGTGTGTGTACTCTGTGTGTGTACTGTGTGTGTGTACTCGTGTGTGTGTACTCTGTGTGTGTACTCTGTGTGTGTACTGTGTGTGTACTCTGTGTGTGTACTGTGTGTGTGTACTCTGTGTGTACTCTGTGTGTACTGTGTGTGTGTACTCGTGTGTGTGTGTACTCTGTGTGTCTGCTCGTGTGTGTACTGTGTGTACTCTGTGTGTGAATGTGTGTGAGACTGTGTGTGTGTGTGATTGTGTGTATGTGGTTGTGTGTGTGATTGTGTGTGTGTGTGATTGTGTGTGTGCGTTAGTGGTGTGTGTGTGTTAGCAGTGTGTGTGTGTGTTAGTGGTGTGAGTGTGTTAGCAGTGTGTGTGTGTTAGTGGTGTGTGTGTTAGTGGTGTGTGTTAGTAGTGTGTGTGTTAGTGGTGTGTGTGTGTGTGTGTTAGCAGGGTGTGTGTGTTAGTGGTGTGTGTGTGTTAGCAGTGTGTGTGTGTTAGTGCCTTAGTGGTGTGTGTGTGTTAGCAGTGTGTGTGTGTTAGTGGTGTGTGTGTGTGTGTGTTAGCAGTGTGTGTGTGATTGTGTATGTGTTAGTGGTGTGTGTGTGTTAGCAGTGTGTGTGTGTTAGTGCCTTAGTGGTGTGTGTGTGTTAGTGGTGTGTGTGTGTTAGTGGTGTGTGTGTTAGTAGTGTGTGTGTTAGTGGTGTGTGTGTGTGTGTTAGCAGTGTGTGTGTGATTGTGTGTGTATGTGTTAGTGGTGTGTGTGTGTTAGCAGTGTGTGTGTGTTGCAAAGTTACCAGCTGCTGCAGTAGTCGTAGTGCGGTGACCTGCAACTTGTAGGGGGGCAACTCACGAGCTGAGACACACACAGACGCTGGGGGGGAGGGGAGTGATGAGTATATGTGTGTGTACTCTGTGTGTGCACTCTGTGTGTGTACTCTGTGTACTGTGTGTGTGTACTCTGTGTGTGCTCTGTGTACTCTGTCTACGAGTCCTCTGTGTGTGCTCTGTGTGTGTATTATGTGTACACTGTGTGTGTACTATGTGTGTATTGTGTGTGTACTCTGTGTGTGTACTGTGTGTGTACACTGTGTGTGTGTACTGTGTGTGTACACTGTGTGTGTACACTGTGTGTGTGTACACTGTGTGTGTGTACTCTGTGTGTGTATTGTGTGTGTACACTGTGTGTGTGTACTGTGTGTGTACACTGTGTGTGTGTACTCTGTGTGTGTATTGTGTGTGTACACTGTGTGTGTGTACTGTGTGTGTACACTGTGTGTGTACACTGTGTGTGTGTACTCTGTGTGTACTCTGTGTGTGTGTACTCTGTGTGAGTACTCTGTGTGTGAGTACTCTTTGTACTCTGTGTGAGTACTGTCTGTGTGTGCTCTGTTTGAGTCTAACTCTGCACGGGCTCTGTACGAGGAAGTGTGACGAGCACGAAGCGACTGGAAGTCACCGCCCAGACTGCTGCTGCTGGGAAGTGACCGCCTCGGCTGGGCCGGTCCAGGGCAACTTCCCTAGGTCGACTCAGCCTCAAATGATAGCCTGGTGCTGTGTGTACAAACATCGCCGCCGGGGAGACAAAGGCGGCCGGGCGTGGTGCTGGCCACCCTCCCCTCTTCGTGCGCCGTGTCGGCCTTCACGGGGGGGGGGGGGGATAGTTGTCTTTCGTGAAGGACGCTAATGGGCAGTGCCAGGCTAGGTGCACATTGGCTGGACTGGGTTGTTGGAGGCAGTCGTCCTCCGGCAACACGGACCCGTGGCACCCGCTGGGTCTGTCCCGTGACCTCCTGCTGCTGCTGCTGCCACCAGCGAGCCTACGACACTTTCACGTGGCAGCCACAAAGTGCACCTAGCCTGGCACGGGCGCCGTGGTGACGTCACCGTCGCTTCGTGGCGAGGTATTGGCGACTGCGAGTAAAAGAGGCCCGTTCCGCGAAACGTCGCCGATACGGGAATACGGGAACCGAAAGCGACGTTCGACTAAAGAACGCCGTTTGATTTGGTAGAGCGGATAGACCCGGCCACGCCCCACGCACTCAGGCCACGCCCCCTCAACAGGCCACGCCCCTCGACAGGACGCCCCGTAGACCACGCCCCTCAGCAGGCCACGCCCCTAGATAGACCACGCCCCCTCATCATACCACACCCCTCTGCAGGCCACGCCCCTAGCCAGACCACGCCCCCTCAGCAGGCCACGCCCCTAGCCAGACCACGCCCCCTCAGCAGGCCACGCCCTCTACCACCCCTCCCACTACGACCTCCCCCGCCACTAAAACCAAATCGCTCCCAAGCGGCGGCGGCGCTGGGGGCACCGCGAGGTCTTTCCTGCCCCGTCTCCGACGCTCATTGGCTGAGAGCTCCCGCATCTGTGACGTCATCGACGACGACGTCGCAGGAAGACGCCGTTTGGATGATTCTCTCTGGAGGAATCCGATGAGCTATGAAGCGCTTTTCACGAATGTCCAGCAAACTGGGCTTCACTCCCTGCAGGTTCTGAGCGAGTGGGTGGGTGAGTTGGTGGGTGAGTGAGTAGGCGAGTTGGTGGGTGAGTGGGTGAGTGAGTAGGCGAGTTGGTGGGTGAGTGGATGAGTGGGTGGGTGAGTGGATGAGTGGGTGGGTGAGTTGGTGGGTGAGTTGGTGGGTGGGTGAGTTGGTGGGTGAGTGAGTAGGTGAGTTGGTGGGTGAGTGGCTGAGTAGGTGGGTGAGTAGGTGGGTGAGTGGATGCGTAGGCGAGTTGGTGGGTGAGTGGATGAGTTGGTGGGTGAGTGGATGAATGGGTGAGTTGGTGGGTGAGTAAGTCAACCTCCGGATCTGCTCGCGACCCAGATGCGGGCAGATCGGACGCATTCCACCAGCTTGCCTTCTCAGCCTCGGCGTGGATATGTACAGCCCTTCTTCTCTGTCACATCACCAAACATTTCAGCTGCTGCTGCTGCAATCCTGCACGACTCGTTTACAAGTTTCACCGACCAGCTGATGACATTGGCGGTGCTGAGAGGGTGGGCAAGCGCCCATCGTGTCTCCCGAGATCGATTCGAAGCGCCAATTTCGTGGCAAGTCAAACGGCGGGTGGCATCCGGCGAGACTGGCTCCCGCCACAGGAATATGGAGTTTACGCATCGACACGGCAGACGTCTCGGGAGCCACACGCGGCTCTTTGGAGGACTTGCATCGTGGCTCATGAAGGACTCCAACCCTCTCGTATTCACCGCCGCGGTGCGTTGGGGAATCTTGAAAGACTGAGTTGTTCCACCATTGGAACCTCATTTGTCAGTAAATATATGATAATTTGTTTTTTACCCTTCTATCTGGCAACAAAACTGACACCTATTTTTTACAAGGAGCCATGTTTACATAGACCACAATACCTGCAGTCATAATGCAAACAAAAAACATAACTCTGATAATTTGCACTGTCCTTGAAGTTGATGTGAGACTAGGCTCTAAGGAAAGCTGTCTCGGGTGTGGACCAATCAACTTCAAGAACAGTGCATACATTATCAGAGTTATGTTTTTTGTTTGCATTATGACTGCAGGTTATGTGGTCTATGCAAACATGACTCCTTGTAAAAAAGGTGTCAGTTTTGTTGCCAGATAGAAGGGTAAAAGACTGAGTTGTTGTTTTGTTGTTACCAAATTCGACAAAAAAATGAACTTGTTATTTTAGTAGCCGAATCCCTGGACTAACCCAACCCTCTCCTGAGCCTCTCCCACCCGCCCGCCCGCCTGTCACCACAACCACGCCACCACTGTTCAATAACCACACCATTCGTAAGCTTGATAAACTATTTATTTCCAGGAACGCATCTACGACGACGACTACGAGCGGCGTGT